AGTATTTTAATTTTATTCTTATTATTATTTTTTTATTTTCCTTTTTTTGTATTTGAATTTTTTAGATTTTTAATTAATTTAATTTGATTTAATTTAATTTAATTTAATGAAAATAAAAATAATAATAATGATAAAATTGAGTAAAAATATTATTTGAAATTAATTTTGGGAAAAAGGAGTGAAAATTTGGATTCTGGGGGTGTTTTTGAAAAGAAAATCGGAAACCAGGGGTCAAAATGCAATTTAAAAAAGTTGTGCCACGTCAGCACCCACGTCAGTGGCCCGGTCAGCAGCCCCGGCCAACCAAGACACGCCGTATGGCAAGGAAACGCTGACCAGGGGACGGGTCACGTGGGCGAACCGCATGCGCGCGATCGGATGGCCCAGATCCGTTCCCGCGCGCACGGACGACCCAGATCAAACGTGCGCACGGACGACCCAGATTCACGCGTACGGACGGCCCATATTGCATCGCGATGGACGGCCCAGATTTAATCCCAATTAAATCGCGATCGAACGGTTCAGATTTAATCTTGATGGACGGTTGAGATTAAAAGGCAAAGGGTATAAATAACCTCACCCACACCTGACCACAAAACCCTAGCCGCCAGTGCCTCACCGGAGAAGAAGAACCAGACGCCGGAGGAGCCGGTCGCCGCCACCCGCCGCTGCACCGGGGAAGTTTTTGACCGCCGATCGAGGTAAATTTTCTCTCTCTGGCTCGTTTTTCGATGTTAAGTCCGCCTATGGCCAAACCGGAGCCAAACCACCGACCAAACAGCCGAAAAACCTAGCTGAAGTCCAGCAGCGCCGCCGCGCCCCCCCTCTATTTTTGCCTCCGATGAGGCCCTTCCCGGCCTCCGTTCGATACAAATTTTATACCACTGTGATCATCGTTCTTTTCTCTACAGGTTGATCAGAGACAAACATCAAAACGCAACTCACGTCAGAGGAGCCGCCACACTCGAGAGCACCACCGCCGGTAAGTTTTGATTTTTCGTAATTTTTTGGCCCACCGAGGGCCCTAGGGTTGTTTTATTGCAGAGACTGATGCAAGTGTGGCCGAATTCGGTCGAAAACGGCCAACCCGAGGCGAATCGCCGGAGCACGGCGGAGCTGTCGTGCCGGAATTTCGATATTGGCCGAATGGGGCCCTAGGTCTGATTTAGAATTTTTTTGGGACACGTGTAGGTACCGGTAGTGCGTTTCAGTTTTCTGAAAAAAATTCAGGAAAATTAGGGACAGCCTGTAGGCACACTGTAGAGTCGAATTCAGACCCCGAAATAAGTAAAGACTCCTCACCCTGTTTCCTATCACGGTATTAAAGCTAATAAATATTAAATTGTACTTTG